ATTTATGAAAATTGAAAAATAATATTTTATAATATTTTTACAATAACTTTGAAAGTTATTTCTCACAATTCTGTGCAATCCTAGTACTTAATTGCAGGAAATAGTGTGCGATTAATAGCTTTAATTTAAAAAGTACAATTTGTAAAGCTTCACACTACACAAAAAACTTTGTTTTTAAATAAATATAAATAACCATTTTTAGTATAAACTCTTATGAAAACATGATCTTTTTTAAGAAATCGTAAGATGCATTTATGACTCCCCAACTAATAAATGATCTCATACAATTTAAATGCACACCCTTGTAAAATGACACTATACTTCTATTTCTTGCAATATATATTTCACGAGTAACAGCCATAAATTTCTCAAAATTGCCACCTATTTTTGACTGCATATGTATTTTTATTACATTCATGGGGTAAAATACAGTACTTGTGAAACCACCTATTAAAGCACCATTAATAAAACTTGTTAATAATGATTCTTGTTCTCCCATTACTTCTTTTGATTTTTCTTTCAGAAGAAAGAACATTAGGTTGGAACAACTATTCCTATATACAATTGGAACTAATCCACGATAACATTCTGAAATACCATAATTTTTCAATAAATATTTAAATGCATGAGGAGTATTTTTAAATTTATTATGATACCGCCAATCCTGTAGTAATGTTTGTACTCTTTCAAGGGGCATAAGTATAGCCTCAGCAGTGCCAGCAAAATGAGCAGCTAATACTCTAGTTAATACATCATTGTTTGTTAATGTGTGAAAACGCTCTTTGCAACCTTCATACATACTAAACATTACACTAACCGAAAGAGCTTTTTGGCAAAGGGGTGGTAAGATTCCACGATACAGCAATCGTATCCCTTCTCTGGATATCTGCTTAAATGCAGTATTAGCTGGAACATCTTCCAAAATCTATACAGTAATCAAAAATGTTACATCCTTAACATATGCATATATGTTTCTTTAAAATATCATTAAATAACTTGTTTTACATACCTGTCTAAATATAATTTTATTAATAGGAAAAGTAATAGATATATTGATAACTGCAGCCCCCCAACCACAGACAAACTCCTTAAAATCATTATTATTAAGTGTTAACAATGATTTTAATGACACGTTTTGCGAAGTAATGTTGCTCATATTAATTTTTTTATGTAATAACTTGTTCAGACTATAATTTAGAGCAACTAATCATATTTATTTATCTTTTAAATCATTTTTATTGCATGCTTTAAATTGAATTCATTCATTTACCTGTAATAAATAAATGATAATATGAATTCAATCTGCAAAGTGTTTCATTGTTGGTTACATTATATAATTTGTATGGTTAGTATAGATTACAAATATGATAAGATTTAATTAATATAAAACTCACACTTTGTGCCATTCATGATTCACCCATATTCTCCATTTGTATGTGCCATAAATTTGATATAAATTTTTTGTTCGATTCACCAAATGTCCAACCTACATTTCTTCGTCGAGTAACGCGAGCAGTACTGATTATATACTCATATTTTGTTGCTTGTGGACAAAATTTAAAATTTTTTTTATAAAACCAGATGATAAGGTGGCCAATTAAAATCACACATGGAAACCAATCAAAATTCT